CTTGCACATTTGTGCTGGCTCTCAGCTAAAAAGCATCCAGACTTTTAACAGAACAAGCAATAGATACACATCTTTGACTGTATAGTTTGCAAATTTTGTGCTTCGCTTGCAGAATTTGGCTGTTGACTTGCACCAAGATCAGATCAGAATCTCTATGTTTTGCTTTACAATCTCGATCAGCAAATGAAACTCAGACCTTGAGGGACTGTAGGCAAGACGTCTGTGATTTGCCTGGTAGAGCAGTTGAGCGCTGAGCTCAGGCCATTCTCTAAGCCACGTCCTCTTTAACTGAATAAACCACAATTGGCAGGGTTCACACAACCAAGTAGCAAAAACCATGCTTACAATCATAGCTACTGCATTCTGAAAGCTTTAGCCATAAACCGCCACATCTGGGCTTAGCAGAACATGGAAACTTCATCCAAGATCTAAAGAAGTTAGAACGTCTTCTATAGGAAGGGAAAAAAATTAGGTAGAAATCCTAAATCTGTTTTCAAAAGCCACTTGCAGGGACTTCTAGTAGGAAAGAAAGAAATTCCTGCACTCCTAAGCAGATTCCCTTGAACCCTCAAGAGTTTAAAAAAAAAGAAAAAGTCCCCTATTCTCAAGGTATGTATCTGTAGCTTCTAGATTTACAAAAGAGATCATTTAAAACAGTGTTTGTCAACTTCAGCAACTGTAAGATGCGTAGACTTCAACTCCCAGAATTCCCCAGCCAGCATGGCTGGCTGGGGAATTCTGGGAGTTGCAGTCTACGCATCTTACAGTTGCTGAAGTTGAGAAATATTGTTTTAAAGCAATGACAAAATGCACAAATTAGGGAAGTATTATCTTTCTCTCATAATGCGAACAATAAGCAAATTAAGAGCAATCTAATTCCTCTCTGTTCAGAAATTAATTAATCAGGATCGCTTGAGGAAACATGTGATATAGGACTGCAACTTTTTCATCCTGAGCCCAGATCGTGGCTGAGAGTTTCATACATCCAGGCTTGTTTCACCCCATTCTAAGTTTTTGATTTGCCACATGGTAGGGAGGGAGTCCATTGGGGGATTAAATTGATCCGAGTTAGGCAAATCAAAGCTTAATGCAAGGTTCATACACACACACACACCCCTATGTCAAATCAACCCACAGCATATATTACTCCATCTAGCATTCATCAAAAGCAATGCATAAGAGGAGGTCATAAGATAAAGTTCTACTTTAATCCAGTGTAGTAACAAGCTTCTGGATAAGACCAATTAATTTTGCCATATGCTGTTGACCAGCAGGAGTTGGGCTTGTTCTGGCTGGCAGGACCTAGGAAAAGCCATGACGGATGGTTCAAATCCAAACTCCTGTTTGCCCTGTGTTGCTTTGACCACTGTCCTAGTTGCCCAACCAAAAGATGAGCCAGGTATTTATATTCCATGTTAACAGAACAACAGAGAGAGAAGTCATCTCATTAGTAGCAAAGGCAACCATTCTGATGGCCCCTCCAAAGCCCCATCGCATGATTAAAACCCATTGTCCAAATTCTGCACACTGCAGAATGAATGGTAGTTTATTCATTTCACTGTTGCACTTTGAAGTTCTCTGGTTTAGAAATAGCCACTTTGGGATCAGGGTATCTTTCTTCCCCAAGTTGAGTCAATGCCATTTGGGATGTTACATCTGCAGTAGGAGGATTTCATCTTTTTAGGGGGCAGGTTTGATCTGATTTTTTAATTCTTTTACAGAGGAAATGGCCCCTTGGTCCTACCTCAGACAGATTTGGAAAATTGCAAGGTGCCTTGGACTGGCTTAGTTTCCCTGCTTCATCAAGCCATGGTTTGTTTCAGTCATGGTTTCAAGAAGCCACCATTGGTGAGTTTACGCAAAACACTGAACCATAATCCGCCGTTTACAAGCCACAGTGGCTGGATTCTCATAGCCCACTAACCCCAAATGAACCCAGACACATTATTGACCACAACGTGTGAAACTAGCTGGCTGGATATCAGATGAGAGCTTTTCTAACCCTGCCTGGGAAAAATTGCCCTGCGCATTGCAACCATATAGGAAGATAAGCAGAAGAATGAATGCTTGATGTTTGGGCTGACAACAATACCTCTTACAGTTTTCTGGGCATTGACCTGGTTTGCAATATAATAAAAATCTCCCAGGACAGTTTCTATGGTTGAATCCCATTTCCTCGGTCTGCTGTTAGATCTGTAGCAGAGTTGAGAAAAGGTGCTTCTGAAATGTGTAAACCTAAGAACAATTTCACGATGAAGGGGATTTAGAGCAAAGAACACGAGCAGGCATCATTAACCTCTTCCAGTGCTATTGCTCTGTTCCAAATTTAAGCTACTTGCCTCTGGCTGCTGTACTATGGGACTCATGGATGATACAGTTAGAAGAACCACCCATGAAGCTCACAACTCTAATCTTTTTTGGCCTGAAACCCTCTAAAGAGCAGGATCAGCTCTTTTTACTCTACAAATTACACCTGAGTGTCAACCTGTCCTTTAAGGATGACCTTCCAGACTCCATCATTCCAAATTCAGCAAAACAAAAGTTCTTCTAATGTAGTACTTTGATGAGTTCCAACAGGTACATCTCAGCTCTATGATTAAAATGTAATTGCTCCCTTAATCTGGTTTAACCTAAGGGAGAAAGAGCACGATGCCTTTGTATCAATTCTCACCCTGCTGTTTTGTACTAATGTCAAAACAGAACATCATATCTTGAGTTTTCTAGAATTGCTTCCCTCTGCTAGACGTGCCACAGTATTTATTCTTAGGAGAAAAGAACTTCATAAGCAGATCAGGGCAAGCAAAGAAAAAAGTGTATGAAACATTAATCCAGGATTCCCTGCTGCAAGGTAAGCTCTCTAGCTGGGGTAGTGCTAAAAAAAGAGTTTAAAAGATTTTGGGAGGCTTGGTCTAGCTCCAGTGATTAGCCAAACATATCCCCCATGCTAAGAAGCTAAAGAATACTTTCAGATTTCAGTTGGTGGGAAGAAACAGAAAAGACAATAGAAAGTTAATACTTTACAAAATAAAGGGAAAGTAATAAGAAATGTTCTTATTGTTTCATGCTGAGATCCTGGTATTTTTGAAGTTCCCCCTTAGGGCCTCTGAGAACAACAGCGGAACAGACTGGGGATATTCCACGTTGGGCATAAATATTTCCCCCAGAGTCTTCCTGAGAGTTCCCCTGTATTTTTGAAGAGGAAGAGCGTTCTTCTCTATCTGAGCTTGTATTCTCCCTTATGCATAAATTAACATACTTTGGAATTATGTTTAAAAATTTAAAAATATATTATTGCTATTAATTCGGAGCTGGGACCCATATCTGCAAAGTTGGAATCGAACACCTTAACTACTACACTGTGCTGTTTCTTAAATATGTGACCTCTAAGAAGCAAAAAGAGAAAGCCAGTTTGGTGTAGTGGTTAAGGCATCAGGCTAAAAACTGGGAGATGGTGAGCTTTAGTCCCACCTTAGGCACGAAGCCATCTGGGTGACTTTGGGCCAGTCCCTCCCTCTCAGCCCCGGGAAGGAGGCAATGGCAAACGACTTCTGGAAAACCTTGCCAAGAAAACTGCAGGGACTTGTCCAGGCAGTCATCAGAAGTCAAAAACTGACTCCAAGGCTATGATTCATATGGCTTTCCCCATCCATTCACACCTAGAACAAACTTGCGAAGGTGGGCTGGACAAGAATGAGGTCCGGCATAGGTGACCAGATGAAGGTTCTGTAGGAGCCAGATATCCCTTATAAGATGAACCCAAGCAAAGTTCATTCAAGTTCGTTCAAAAGGGAAACGAATCTAGAGGCTTTACTCATTTGGCTAAGCCAGAAAAACGAGCCACTTTATGTTATGAGTGCAACATTTGGGCCAATTTTGCACCCTTCTTCCTCTTCTTCTGGCAATCCTGATGCCCCCACCCCCCATCCGCATGAACAAATGCTGTGATCTCACCCCATTCCAGGATTTGAATACCTTTATGCAAGTCCCATCTATGGTACACTTATGTAACATAGGTCCAGACTTACACCCATATACATATATAAAACAAGTATCTTACCTACTTAAAGTTGGGTAGTTATTTTTTGAACATGGCAGGTGTCACCTGTGCTCAGCACCCTTCCATGTGTATCTGGACAGTAACTCCCAGAATTTCTCTTGGCCTTGAGGAGTGGGGATTCGGAGAAGTCAGTGGCAATCCAAACGATCTGGAAAGTTTCAGGACAGTGGTGGGGTGGGCTTCAGCTCTCATGAGCCCCAACTCATGCAGGCTGAGGATTATGGGAGCAGAACTCCCATGTGAGCCTGAGGATTGTGGAAGTGGAGATCCAGTGCAACTGACAAGGTATCTCTTTGGAGAAAGCTGGAGGAATTAATGCTGAATCGAATGGACCTGCAGTCAACCTTGTGATAACAACTTGCTCTGTTAGAAGTAAGCAGCCTCCCCTGGTGGCGTTTGGCGGAATTGCAGTTAGTAGACAGTAGTCTACCAGCTTTTGTAATTGGAAGCACTGGACCACCTTTTTTTTATGATCCTAGCTGTGTTTATTTTATTTCTTAGCTCAGTATATATGCAATATATACTTGATGCAACAGCTGGAACTCCCTCCTCTTCTTGCAAAGTGATTTTTAAAACCTACGCCAGAAGCAGAAATCCAACACAACAGCTTTTTCTAGTGTGGAAACAAGTTAAAAAGTTGAGGTGCAAATTTAGGGATGCACAGCTCAGACAGTCTCCAAATTCAGCACCCCAAACATTTTCCAAGATCCATAAATGCTCCTGTTCTGCTCTCCCTTTCTTACCTGATTTCTCCCAAATTATCTTGCCCCCCCCCATCCTCGTTTTTAAGGCAAAAATAATATTTTTATCCCTGACCTTCAGAATCAAAACTTGGTTGAAAGGGAAGGGAGCCTCATTTTCATTTTATCAGATCACCTAAATCGACATCACAAAACAGACAGCCTCCATCTATCATTTATTATTCACTGTTTATTATTTTTAATACTTCATTTTGAAAGTTTTATAGAAAAAAGTATTTTAAAAAAGCAAAATACATTGTATCAATGGTGCATAAAAACAAGCTGCAGGTAATATATTATTTACACAATTGCATTCTGTCTATAAATTAAAAAAAGGTCCCTGATTGTTATTTACAAGATACATATTAATTATCATTAATAATAACACTTTGCCCATCATTGTCAATTCAGACAAGCTCCAAATATTTTAATAATAATAATAATAATTAAACTGTTCCCCACTCATCCCCCTTTTAACAACATCCCTTGAGGTAGGTAAGTATTATTTCTGCAGCTGTGTATAGAACTTGTCCATCCTTTGCAAGCACAGAAATTGCTTTCAGGCATAAAACTGGTCATCTTAAAAATCTCAGCTCCCCCCTTTTTTTCCCTATAGTTTCTAGCCCTTAAGTTGCAAGAATAGTACTTGAAAATGTAGAAATAAGAGTTGAAAGCCAAAGGCGAGGATGGCTAAGCAACATATAACAAGAGCGCACGATGCTAAAACTTTTTAGTCCCATCATTAGCAAACAGGATTAGCATGTTTGTTTCTCAAAAATGGCAGTACCGTGACTCCCTAAAACAATAAATTAATTTCTGCTAGTCACCATGAATAAAGCAAATGATTTCATCGGGATTAGAGTTGGCCCTAAAAGGAATTATCAATCATTACTTTTAAATGTGCATCTCAACTTTTACTGGGCAAATGTGCGCCGGCGGTTCCACAGGCAAAGTCAAGAAGACAGGCTACCATGAAGTCTGACAGAGCTCAACTTTGCTTGTGCAAAGCCAGTCGAGTTTAAACCACCACTACAGGGAAAACAGGTTTTGACCTCCCTGCAAGGAGGCTGCTGGTGAGTCCCCCCCACCCCCCCAAGGTTCCTGATCTGCAGTTTGAGAAGCCCTGAGTTAGCATATGGAAGGGGGCGATGAAACCGCGATCGCCCTCCCTGCTGATAGCAGCAAAAAGTTAAGTTATCCTTTTTAAAATCTCACAGGACACACCCACATAATTTAGTAATTATTAGCTAGGTTTTGCAGAAGCAGTAAATACCTTAAGCAAAGTTGGCTGGGCACAGGAGCCTGTTGACCTCGTTTTTCTTTCCCCACGTGTTCTTTCAGTCTCCAAATCAAAATATTTTCCCATCCCCGTTCCCCTCTGCTTTCTGCGCCAACTCCTAGATCTCATTCCCCTGCCAGTGTAACACAGGGCAAACCCAGGTCTCCAGTTTGATCCCTACATTGAAGTGCTAAATAATATACCATGATAATGCTACAGTTGTTTGGCACCATAGAAACAAGGCAGTACCACCCCCATCCTTCAGCCTAGGGGTGAGGTAAAGATGGTAACTCTGGGCAATGCCCCACCCGAGGAGAATTTCCAAGAGTTAGCAATCACCTGAAAGAGAATATAACAGTGGCTTTCTTCCCAGAACAAAAGGTCCCAACGTCAGTGTAAACAAGGCCAAACTCTCGATAGAGCTTAAGGTGCTGAGAGACCAAGGGTTTCCCTCAACCTCCTTCAGCTTCAGGCTTTGGAGGCCCGCTTGGTAAGGCGTTTCAGGAGATTCGGGTTGGGTTTCCGGGGCACAGATGATTTCGAGGGGACGTCGACATAGTAGAACGTGAGAGGCTGGTAGGCTGGGATGTAGCTGACCACATTTTGAGGGCATGGGACCCACAGAGGAGCTGGAATGTAGAAATACTGGGCAGCCTAGAAGGAGGGACAGAGAAGGCGGTTAAAAGAAGGAGAACACAAGACCCAGATCTTTGAGCTTCCCAGATCTGGAAGCTCAAAGACGCACAATCCATAAGGACTTTCACGAAGAATTGGTGAGCCCAACTCAGCCCACTGGGACAACCTGAATCAAATCAAGCCTAGTGTAATAATTAAGATAATGCCCTTCAGGGTGAGTTGGGCTCAGCTCCCAGTGTTTGCATCCATGGAGTTTTTCTTGGAGACAATGTGGAAGTGGTTTGCCATCAACTCCCACCAATGGCTACTTCTTTCAACTTCCCAGTTCAGCCTACAGCCCTGGAATTTCCTAGTGATCCCCTATCAAAATACTAACCAGGTCCAACCTGGCTTAACTTTCAGCTAGCTAGGTAACTATGGAGTAAGCCAGAGTCAGATCCCTGTTCCAACTATTTATATAGTCGCCCATCTCACACAAGGTGACTCTGGGTGGCGTACAACAATTATAAAAACAACTACATATAAAAAACAGTAAAAACACACAAAACAGGAGGGGATAAAATTAATAAGGGAGCCATCGTAAAATCTCCCCAGTCCCCTGGGTGCCCCAGGCCTGATCACATAACCAGGTCTTGAGGGACTTAGGGAATGGTAAAAGGGATGGGGCTAATCTCATTTCCGGGGGGAGAAGATTCCACAAGGTGGGCGCCACAGCAGAGAAGCCCGGCCTCCTGGGACCTGCCAAATGTAATTCTCTGGCAGACGGGATCCACAGCATGCCTCCTCTACCAGATCTGATGGGATGGGCAGATGTAATCGGGGAGAGGCGGTCTCTCAGGCAACCCAGCCCCATGCCGTGAAGGGCTTTAACGGTCAAAACCAGCACCTTGATTTGGACGTGGAAGGAAACTGGCAACCAGTGCAGCTCGTGAAGCAGAGGTGTAATGTCTACCACCCTAGGGGCATACATAACTGCCCGTGCCACTGCATTTTGCACCAGTTGAAGCTTCCAGATACTCTTCAAGGGAAGTCCCGAGCGCATTACAGAAATCCAAACGGGAGGTGACCAGGGCATGAGTGACAGTGATTAAGAATGGGTGTAACTGGCACACAACACGAAGCTGGGCAAAGGCTCTCCTAGCCACGACTGCCACCTGCTCTTTGAGCAGGAGTCGTGAGTCCAGGAG